GCCCGGCGTGAGTTTAAGCCACCGGGTCCAGGACGTGAACCGCGGTTGACTACATGGGAGTCCAGCAACAGAACCATTATGCTAACTGCTGGTCCCAATATGAAGAAACTTTTAATGGCCTGCATTGAAGACTAGGCTCAGAAGCATATCCCTCTCAGCACCATGACAATCACAGCCAAAGCAAAACGTTTGTTTGCTATGTTGAAAGAAAAGTCTGGATCCTACTTTAATGTTGAATTTACTGCTATATCTGAGTGGTTTAAGTGATTCAGGAATCTTTGTTCATTAGGTTCAGCATGGTGGCATAGACTGTAGGAAGGGTGCCATTACATGATACTGGGACCATATGGGAGACCTGGATTCAGATCCTGGGTTGATCTGAACACTCTGGATGTGTCCACACATTCTTGTGGACCTGGTTGACTAAAAGGCTGGGGGAAGGATCACAGCATGATGAGACCCTGTCAAGGGTACCTGTATTTCTAAATAAGTGAACTTAAAGAATTAAGAAGTCCATCTATGGTTCCAAAGACTTGCCAAGGATGAGGAGGTTACAAAAATCAAGAAGGCTGTTGTTGCGATGGTAAACAACTCCAATCTGAGTGTAGATGAAGAAGACATTGGCCTAAAACAGCTGTTGTACTCCCACACTTTGATTCCTATGGATAAGCCAAAATCGTACATGTCAGGCTGTTTTTCTGAGCTGTTTGCTAGGTTCCAACCAATCACAGCAGCTAGGCTTCAGTCAATCACTGGCATCCCACCCTTTAAACCATGTTGATGCAGACAAACTTCAGAATGTAACCAATGATTTCTCTACCTCACTCCCTTGCTTACCTTTTTTGTATGACACTTTTCTGTTCTGCTGACTTAAACACCAACTTGACCACAAGGCTGACCAGAGTTGCCCAAAAGTTCGAGAACAACTGCCCGATTTAAATCATGTTAAGATTTGTTCTATTGGGACCAGCAGTTAGCGTAATGGCTATGTCACTGGACTCCCACGTAGTCGACCGCGATTCGAGTCCCGGACCTGGTGGCTTAAACTCATGCCGGGCACATGTGCATGTGTGCCAAAGATCCTGAGAGGAGAATGGAAGAGAAGGGATTGTGGTGTGGCCATCTCTCCTGGGGGGGGATTTCTCGCTTTCTGTTTCTCTGTCTCTCTCTGGCTGTCTGGCAAGCGCATGCGCCCTATAGCAAAAACCTCTCCAAAAAAAAAAAGTAAAAAAAAAGATTTGTTCTATTAAAACTCTATTCTATTAAATTGACTTGTTTATTTTCTTTTAACAGGAGCTTCCAAAAGTGGTTTCTGAGGGACCAGCAGTTGGCGTAAAGGCTATGTTGCTGGACTCCCACAGTCGACCACGGTTTGAGTCCCAGACCTGGTGGCTTAAACTCATGCCGGGCACATGTGCATGTGTGCCAAAGATCCTGAGAGGAGAATGGAGGAGAAGGGATTGTGGTGTGGCCATCTCTCCTGGGGGGTGATTTCTCGCTTTCTGTTTCTCTGTCTCTCTCTGGCTGTCTGGCAAGCGCATGCGCCCTATAGCAAAAACCTCTCCAAAAAAAAAAAAAAACCAAAAAAGTGGTTTCTGAGAAATTGACTGAGGAAAGGTTGTTGGAACTGGAATAGGAATGCATAGCTGAAGAAGAGGAGAAAGACAAGGAAGAGAAAACTTTTAAAAAGAATTATTATTCATTATATAATATGGAAGTGAGTGGTGAGTCTGCAAATGCTGCTATGAAGGCAGCTGAAGAATTTTTGGACACTTTTTGGATAAGCTGATTGTGGAAGAAAATTATTTGCCAGAGAAAACCTTCAGTTTGGGTGAAATCTCCCTATTCTGGAAATAGAAAACTAAAAGGACTTTCTTCTATAAGAGGACCATCAGTGCCAGGTCTCTAGGCTTTAAAGGACAGGGTAGCAGCCCTGTGTGGAGGCAATGTTGCAGGCCACACATTGAAACCCTTCGTGACGCAGCATAGTGAGGGCCTTCGAGCATTTCAATAAGCACACGCTGCCGGTGCACCTCAGGAGAAATAAGGATTCATTCATGACTCAGCTCTTCTCCCACGATGCCCTCCTGAATTGCTATGCCGCAAAAGGGAGAAGTACTATTTGGAGACTGGCATACT